GTGTGTGTGTGTGTGTGTGTGTGTGTGTGTGTGTGTGTGTGTGTGTGTGTGAAGGCAGGCCAGAGCAAGCAGTTATCAGGTTATCAGGTGTCTGATATTTTCCATCTTTTGGGGGGAGGGATGAATGAGTGTAGAACATATGCTGCTTTTCTATTAACTATTTTTATAGTGTTTAATTTTTTAATTTAAAAAATTTGAAATTAAAATACAGTTAAACCATTTTCTCCCTGTAACCCCTCTTATACAATACACCTTGCTAGCTCTCCAATTCTTGGCTTCTATTTCCTTTGTGTGTGTGTGTGTGTGTGTGTGTGTGTGTGTGTGTGTGTGTGTGTGTGTGTGTTCATATATACTCTTAAATATATAACTATATCCTGCTGAGTCTATTTAATATTATTTGTATGTATATGACTTCAGGGCTGGTTTTGAGACTTGGTTTCTCATCGATCCTGGAGCTTACTGGTTTAGCAAGACAAAGCAGTACGCTGCAGAGAAAAGCCCCCTGCCCCTCTTCCCTGAGCTAACACCACCACACTTGGCCTTTCACTTGCGTGGTTGGGGGTCAAACTCATGTCCTTGTGCTTTTATGGCTTGTACTTTATCAACTCCAATCCCTCATTTCACATCTTAAGTTATATAAAGCTAACAAATATATTGTAAGAGCACTTCTCTCAGTTTATTTTCCAATTAATTCCTGTTAGACAATGTGTGAGGAAGGTATAGGAATAAATCCTTACCCTTTTCATATTTGAAGGAATATAAATATTTGGAATATTTTTCTATTTTTAAGGTTTTGACATTAGTTCATTGCTTACTTAGAGTAATTATAAAGGGTAATTTTTTTTTTTAATTTAGAATACCAACTTTCATCTTGGCATGAAAGTGACAGAATAAAATATATGCTGTAGTGGACATTATTTACATACAATTTATTTTTTTAAATGTTTTATAGAGTAAATCCTGTGTCAAACAATCATAAACATATAAAAACTAAATTATAAATGTTGTAGCTTTAGCGACTTCCATTTTTGTCTTAAAGACACTATAATGAATTGGTTTTTTTTAACCATTAAAGAATGAATGCCCTGTATGTATTGTTCTTTACTGAAATGTAACATCCTGACATACCTGTTGTGTGACTGATAACAGGTCTCACATTGCACAATGAGGAAGGATTTAAATGAATGTACAGAATAACTTCAGTTAGTAAATTCTGAGTACTTACTAGTGAATCATTTTATTGAGTTCTATGCAAATTCCACGCAGGATATAGAGAAGACAAACAATGACTTATTTACTGAAAGATCTATCTGATATTTTCAACTTCAGTGCATTGACAGGTTACATGATCCTTTAAATTAGTTTTTCATTTCCTCACTTTTGTGGTTAAAATATTTGTTAGTTTACCAGTATCTTACCAGACAAAGATTTATGATTTAGAAAACATTAATTCTGCTGTTGCCAAATGTCCCCTTATTGCTTTTGAAACACTTTCTATGTGTGGAAAAAAGTCTTGCATTGCTAACTCAATCTAGTTTACTTTCATTAGGAGGTAATGATAGAGCTGTATGAAATTGTATAAAACAATGTGGAGCTATTGTGTATGCCAGTATCTTGCGAAACTGAGTATCAAAATCAGGATACTGATCTGCAACGCTCCACCAAACTTACTCAGGTTTCATCAGCTTTATTTGTAGCTAATTGTGTTTGTGTGTTTATTTGTTGAGTGCAATTTCATCCCAAAGTAGAGTCATGCTTCCACTATCACAGTTAATATGCAGAATAGTTCCATATTTCTGTGACGGCAGGATATGCTATGATGGCCACATTCACTTACCGCCTCTTTGTATCTTTGATCCTTAGCAACCACTCATCTGTTCCCCTTTACAGGACTAATACGTGTACATATATAAGTATATGTATGCATATACATTCTATATAAATGGAATTATATGTAGTATGTAGTATTTGGGATTTGTCTTTCCTCTTCTAGTATAATCTTTAGAAACTTGGCTCATTTTTTAAAGCATACGATGGTTGCTTTTTTTGAATGTTTAATAGTCTCCATAGTAAGATATTTGGTAGACTATTTGACTATTTTATCCATCAGTGAAATAAATTCAGGCTCTTTCCTGTTTGGGGTTATTAGAAATACAGCTGCTGTGAATTTTCATTTACAAATTCTCACATGAATGTGAATTTCAATTCCTCGGGAATCAGTGCCCAAGAGTGCCGTTGCTGGATGACGTGGTGACTGTTTCGTTTAATGAGAAACCACCAAACTGTTTTTGAGAATAACGGTTATTTAATATTGCTACCCATGTCATGTGATCAATCAGGTTTCTCGGCTCTCTTGCCCTGCATTCTCTGTTGAGGCCATTTTCATTTTAAACATACAGTGTTATTGTAATTTAAGCCATCCCTCTATGGATTATCACAGTTCTTTTATGAACTTACTTAACACTTGTGAATCCTTTCTATGAAAAGTCTGTTTATAACTATCTACCTCTTTCCAACTGGGTTTTGTTTGGTTTTAATGTTGATTTTTTTTTTTTTTTTGCTTCTTAATGTTGACTCCTCAATGGCCTTTCTATGGTTTAGATTAATAGAATGACAAATACCCATAGACTTATGACAAATATATTCTCCCTGTCTATAGTTTATATTGTGTTCATCCTCATATTTAATTAGCTTGTATTATATATAGTCTCTCAATTTTCAGCCTATATGTTCATTCTCATATTTAATTAGCTCATATCAATATAGCATGTATGTTCATTCTCATATATACTGATATGATCTCAACTTACCTCCTGATATGATTTGTGTTTGTGTTTCCTCAAGCACATTACCCCCTTCATCTCACATAAATTATAATCTAACTTATCATTTTCATACATGCTCTAGGTATGTTTAATATAATTATTCTTATCTTTTCCATTTGGGGTCATTGGTTTTGTAGGCAGCATATTGTCATAGTAGTGTTACATACCAGCCACAAGAATATCTGTTTACACACATATAAAACCTTGTTACTTTAATATGCCAACATTTGAACAACTAGTTGGAAAATGGAAAATATATATGTGTGAGTATATGTATTCCTTAATACCATGAAGTTGATGCTTTATTTAAAATTAATAACCATATGATTTTCATTATATTTGTTAGATCACCAGATTAGTATGCTTACTATGGTGTACTAATGAGTAATCGCACTTTATTTTCTTTCTATTTAAATATTCGTTATAGAATTTTAAGCAATACCAGATTTTTCTGTTGTGTCAACAACTGCTCTCCAAATGAGTGTTCAGTCATGCTTATTGCATTGTGTTCTTTTTTTTTAACTTTCATGCAAAAAGAAAAACCTAGTGGTTTCTGTGAATGAGGGAATGTCTTTGTTTAATTTTAACTTTCGTTCCACATTTTAACCTTTTCTTTTTTTGGCTTTAGCTTTGTGTTTTGTTTGTATGGATGGCAAGATTTGATTGATTTACCTTTTTTTTTAAAAAAATTTTATTTCAGTTTTTACAAGCATGGGGTTATATTCTTGCATACACCTTGGGAAAGAGAGCATCCTAAATGTGGCTTAATCAACACTGTGAATTCTTTCCCGTTTACTCAGATATGTGCATTGTTGAAATGTGTGTGCCAGTGGCATATTTTTTTTTAGTCTATTTAGCTGCCTGCCTGTAATCAGGACTATGTCAACTGTTGTCATTCTAAATGTGTCCTTTCTTTTTATCAAGCACATTTGCCTGATTGACCTTTTTTTTTTTTTTTTTCTCTGTCTTTCTATGGGGCTGTTCCAGGAGCCATGGCTAATCATCTTATAAGCAATGCTCTGCTTCGTCCGCATGGTACTAACAATCCCTATAATACATTGCTTGGGGAACCGGCGGTCTGTAACAACCCTTCTATCAGCATGTACAACGCACAAGGTGTGCTGGAGTTTATCTTAAGTTTTTCAAGTGAGAGTCCCGCTTTATGTAGCTTTTACGGGCACATTCTCTTTTCTTTTCTCCTGCCTTTTCTTTGTTTTGGAAGCAGACACACAGACTCCTTTGTCATTCTGTCCCTCTTGGTGCTTTTATTTTCCATTTTCCTTAGGTTTCCTTAGTGAGCAGTAGATGCCTCCTGATAAGCAAATGCCTGATTCATCAGTATGTGTTTGTTTTTCCTGTGCTGTGATGAAATGTATTGTGGTTTGTCAGTACTTCCCTGTTATTCATTTATTTCTGTATTAAACACCTGTGTACTTACTATGAGACATGAGAATATTTGTCTAAGGTAAGTAAGATAAAGGGAGACTTGATTCAGTAGTCTTGATGTTATAAGATTGAGGAAATAGATCTTTCTTTGCTGTATCATGAAGTTCACTCTGGGCACAAAGCATTAGTATTGATGAAAGCATTAGATTAACTCCAGGGAAAGTACATTGACCTAAGCCATAGAGGAGGGAGCAGCCGGCGGCATGACAGGAGCCACCTCCCTTCTCCCTCAGCTCTCACGGGAGTTGGTCCAGGCCAGCCACAAAATTTCTTTTTACACCATGCTTCCTGTGAAGATGGTTTCTCTGTGCATTGTCTTGCTTGAAAATTGTGTAAAAATAATCTCTCAAAAATAATAAGCCTATCTGTCTTTTAAAAATCTTATAATATAAGCTTGTTTTTTTTTAAAAAAAAATATTTTGCAAGCATCAGAGTTTGCTTGGGGTACAAAGCATTTTTAAGTATCCTATTTCTGTACATGTAAACAGACCACAAAAATTATTCAAGTAAAAGTTGCACAAAATAAAAGTCCCACCTAGTGATTCACGTACTTAAAATGATGTTTCCCAGAAAATTTACCAAGGTAGGGACTTCTTGGGTTTCTTTAAACTGAATGTGATAGATTAGCAATTGATTTTTGTTACACTCAGAACATTGGGGAGGTTTTTTGTTTGTTTGCTTGCTTTTCATTGAATCTGAGGTGAAGGGTTAGAGGTATAATTGTGTAAACTTCTGACCCATTCTACAAAGGGGGGTTCTCTCTGTGTGTGCCAGCAGCGTCTCACGTCATCTGGGTTTGCCCGAGTGGCTCCATTAAATGGTGACTTTAAGATGCTTGCAAATAAATAATTGGGCAACCCACCAGTCCCATCAAGTTTCTTAAAGACTACCTGTCTAAGAAGAATGAAAAGGAGGGGCAGAGAGCGTGAGCTTATTTTCTGATGCCTGTAAGGTTGAATTATTCCTGGAACATTGGCCTTCACCCCACAGGATCCCATACAGTTATCATAGCAATGCTCAGTTTATTTTTCATGTGTGTATATCACCCTGACTATGCTGCTTAGGTTAGTTTCTGGAGTAGAGAAGAGCCCAGTGCTCTGTTTTCATTTGATAATCCTATCAATATCAAAAGCAGCCCATATCTTCTCCCATTTCCCTAATCAATGTGAGACAGTTCCCGGGCCCCCTTGATGGTCACCCTCTCTATACTGTCTACTGTTTGTCAGAGTCCCTATCCCATTGTAGTGCTGTATGAACTGTGCCCAGAAAAATATGCCATATGTGGTTTGACAGAACAGTCTGGTAGAAAAAAAACAAAAACATTTTACTCTGTCCTCTTTTTATTTTCCTATGTCCAAGTGAGAAGTAAATATGTCACTATAAATAATTTAAAACATGCTGTGATATCAGCACATTTTAAATGATGTTATGTGACTATTTGCACAATATTTTCTAATTAAATGTACTCAACATTACTCCTCTTACACAAGATGTTGGTAATTGTTTTAAATACTAAATTTATATTATATTTGTTTTACTTTTTATATATAATTTATAATTGCTTATAGAAGGAAAAACTAGCAAGTATTAATTGAATTGTTTTTCCTAATCTAATATTTACCTTTCCATCTTCATCCAAAAATCAAGGAGATTTAAAAATATGGAACACATATAAAAATGATTAAATAACAGAGTTCTGGTGGTAAACCTCTATAAGATATCCTAACACTAAAGCCTAAAGCTATCCTGGGGTAACCTAGACAAAATGCATAGAAAAATATAGAAGCAAAATATTTACAATGTGGAGTTTAAAATAATACCATATGCACACAGTGTTATTCTTATGTAATCCATAAGTAGACATTGTTATGTAAAATTTTTAATAAATATGCAAAGACCTCTTCCAGATGAATTTGTCTTTTATTTCAGTAAATTTAATAAATTCTACTAGCTATTCTTAAAAAAAGAAACTAAGGTAATTTTGTTGTCAGAGTCAAAGTGGAAATTATGTAGCTATTTATGTTATAGGTCCTTTTTTAAAGACATTAAAGAACTGTAGTACTGCTTGAAGTAAGTTTTGAAAAACTAGCCAAAAATAAATCTTGGTGATTGTCATGTTGCTACTAATCTTATGCTTTCAGATGAATGCACTTATATTCTTACTGGCAAGGTGAACTCTTACATGAAATATAGGCTTGGTATGTACTGGAGTGGTTCACATTGAATTGCCACTTGATTTTGTTCTGTGGATCCTCTGACTCCGTTGTGCCAATGCTTTTCAGGCACTGGAACATTCAGATTTGAAAGTATTTATTCTTGCTTACAATGCCTTCACTTAAAGTTTGTAAAAATGCATTTAGAGTGTTACTGAAGTATATAGAGTTAGAAATAAAAATGAAGAATATCTATTTGTTATAGTGAATTTAGAGACTATGTATGGAAATATTTTAAAAAAATCTTATGTATAGTATTTCTGGACCATTATCTTCTTGTCAGTATGAGAAATTCAATTTTTTACAAAGATAAGTCTCATTCAAAAACCTGTCAAAACAACATTGTATGAAGAGAAAGTCATGATTTTACTAAAATAAATGTACTTTTCAAAGTAATTGAATTCAAATCCAAGACTTTAAAGAAAGACATAAACTCACAGGACAGGATGCAGTGAAAAGTGCATTATATTTGGTTGGAATGAGAAGTTGTATAGAATATAAATTAATATTCCCTTATGGCTTCCAAAGCCTGTGGCAGACGAGAACAAGAGATTGCAGCAGAACCAGGAAGAGCCTAGGACCACTTGCTCTTGCTCTTTTGACTTAGCAGCGCAGCATCAGATCAGGTCCAGGCTCTTTTGATTTTAGTTGCCTCATTTAATGAGCTACAATGAGCTTGGAAGCATTTGTATATGTTGATAAACAGCTTAGCTGTTTATTTTGAACTCTGCTTCTAAAGCTAATTCAGAGTTTTAGATGGGATTTCCTCTGCCTCTTAAAATGTGACACATCTCTTTTGTAAGAAGTAAATCAATCTTAAAATAAAAAAAAAAACTCTTCCTTCAGCCAGTAAATATGACCAAACTATGAATATATGGAAATATCAACTCATAATTTTGTGCAATTAGTATACACTAACAAAAATACCACTGACAAAAAAGAAGCCTGGTTGAAATACAGGCTGGAGTCTTCTGAAGTGATATGGCCCAGTAGATGCCTTGATTTTATTTTTGGATGCTTTAACTTTCCTATAAACAAAACAGCAAGAATAATTATTCTTCTGCCCCGATTACAGATAGGTTTCCCTTAGAATTAAATTTCTTAGGATTGTCTTTTAACTCATCTACTCACAAACTATTTTGTTAAGTAGGAGGATGCTACAATCCAAAGGGAACTTCCTACTGAGGGTGCAAGTTTTTCTTCCACGTATCGGGAGGCAAAACACTAAGTGGATTTCATATTTCCCCTATAGTTCAACACCTTCTTAATGTGAACATCTGCCCAGGCACGATGGAGTAAAGTAGCCCTTGCACAGGAAAGGGGAAGAAACACAAGTGGCAAAAGAATGCAGTTAGGAAGTTAGAAAAACTTCAACTCAGGTTTTCTTTCTGTGTCATATTTTTAATTTCACTAAATAATTTCTAAAAGCATATGATGTTCCTATAGCAGGTGCTTTCTAATATCACATACCTATCATATTGAAATGCGGTGGTAGAAAGAAATAATCATAGATTAGTCAGGTGGTGGTGGTGTACCCCTTTAATCCCAGACTTGGGAAGCAAAGGCAAATGGATCTCTGAGTTGGAGGCCAGTCTAATCTACAGAGTGAGTTCCAGGACAGCCAGGGCTGCACAGAGAACCCCAGAGAACCCCTGTCTCTCGAAAACGGAACAAAACAAACAAACAAAAACAGAGAGCAAAAGAAGGAAAGAAAGAAAGGAAAAGAAATAGTCATAGCTCACCCTCTTTTTATTCATTGGTTCATGTGACAATTTTAAGTGTCTTATCAATGTGTATAAAATTTGCAAGCTATAGAAACACTTATTAAAGCATCCTTGCATCGGTGTGTATTAAGGTGGAGGACTCTTTTCTAACATTTCAGTGTTTGAATTATGATAAACCATGTAACACAGACTCGTGAATGTGGGGGCAGTGGAAATGGTTTCCCGTAACTCTTTTTTCTGCATATCATCAATTTGCTTTGGACTCACGTTTCTCCTATTGTCGCTGTAAGCTTACTCGCTGTTTTTTCTTTCCTTTTCTTCATGCTGTCGTTTAGAGCCCTACAGAGAGACAAGTATGGGAGTAAAGCTAAACATTGCATATCAAATGTAATTTTTTTTCAGTTCACTTTTATTGCATCACATATAGATGATGTAGTTATTAAAAACAGTTCATCTCACAATTTCAAAACTAAAGAGCCTATAGATCGACTTCTATAAATATATGCTAATAGAGACTAGACGCTTTTGTTGTCTGATTCTTTTATTCTGTCACATAATCAACATAACTGTTAAGTCTCATGTAGTGTTTGTGTGAGTTAAATTGTTTTTAAATTAAGCATTTTTTTTGCAAAGTAACTCATAAACTTTTAATTTTAATTAGTGCATTCCATCATTAAAAATGTGTCCCATTTGCAACATGCCCACCTAATTTTCTATGGCTGTTTGAAGTCCAATACCAAATGCATTGACAACAACAACAAAAAAAATGAAATTAAAAAAATGTGTTTCAATGCATCAGCAACATAATCATAACCATTAAGCATATCATACCAACCTCTACAGCAGCAATCACCTGTCATATGCAGCACTTTAAAAAAAAAGCATTGACTTCTTTTTTCTTAACATTGTTAATTTGTGTACCAGATATTTTATGACATGAAAATAAATCGCTTCAACCTATGTCTGTGGTGACTGCTCATTCATGGATTTTATGAATTGTTATTTTTGAAATCTGTTTTCCTTGAATGTAAAGAATGAGAAAATCCACATAAAATTGGCCTATATGTGACATGTCATTTCAACTGCCGTTGAACTGGGTTTTCATAAACGTAATTGCATCACAGATATAGAATGAGTGCTATATTTTCACAACTTAGAAGTGTATTGAGAGGTTTAAGAGAATTCTTCAAGTAAATTTTTGGAAATATCCTTCCTTATTTATCAGCACTGGTTAAATGTATAGGTTTTTTTTTCCTTTGTGGATGTGCTTAAAGTGATTTATGAAACTATTAAAGATTCTTGAACTTCTGCCTATTCAAGGGAATGCAAAAACCTTGAAGAAGTTTGTGGTTAAATTTATTTCCCTGCAGCTGTTTATTACCAGAATATAATATTTAGCTTCTTTAAAACTAAATTTTAATACATCCCAAGTCATCAGTCATCATAAGATCGTAATTTTAATAATGGTATTGTGCTTTTAGGACTAAACCCCTGTGTTTTTACACATTCTTCTATAGTATTTCTCAGTGACCCTAAACAATAACTTATGGGTTAATATATAGTAATAACTAAAGTGATTACAGTAGGAAAAAATACAAAAAAACTCCAAACATTTTTTAAAGTATATATCTCAATGTGCCACTTACTTGACTGGGCATTATTTCATGACTTGCAAATTTAATATAATCCTTTTGTGGTTTTTATATGCAACAATTATTTTAATCTTCTTAAATTATATATCAAACTACCAAAAGCTGCTTCCTTTACTTTTGAATTACATATTCAAAGTGCCACACATGAATTATGTTATAACTATTTCAGAAATATGTAAAGTTAGAGATGACAATTTAAATGACTTTGATGTGTATAAATTGAAAGCAATAAATGATTATATAAAATCTTATTTTAATTTGCCAGTTTCAGCTAAATACACTTCATGTATCAGATTCTGTTTGTGTGAAATTTAAAATTAATAGCATAGTTTTCTTTAAATTTTATTTTAAATAGTCCTTTTTCTAGTTAAAACGTTTCTGTTAGTATGTTGTATTTATTACATATATACATGCTGACATGTATAGATTTAATAGTGTTTTTTCTTTCCATTTTATATTTAAGATGCTAGCAATTTATACATATTTTAAATTCTATGAATGTTCCTACTTTTGTGTTTGTGTGTGTGTGTGCGTGTGTGTTCAATGGCTCATTGGATATAAATGTCATAGTGTCTTGTAATCTTTTTCAGAGGGGCTTCTGAACAATGCCAGGGATACAAGTGTCATGGATACTCTACCACTGAATGGTAACCATGGCAACAGTTACAGCATTGCTGGCGGTGAATACCTGAGCAACTGTGTGCAAATTATAGACCGTGGCTATAACCACAACGAGACCGCCCTAGAGAAAAAGATCCTAAAGGAACTCACTTCCAACTATATCCCTTCATACCTGAACAACCACGAGCGCTCCAGTGAACAGAACAGGAATATGATGAACAAGCTGGTGAACAACTTAGGCAGTGGGAGTGAAGACGACGCCATCGTCCTGGACGACGCGGCGTCCTTCAACCACGAGGAGAGTCTGGGCCTGGAACTCATTCACGAGGAATCTGATGCTCCCTTGCTGCCCCCGAGGGTGTACTCCACGGAGAACCACCAGCCACACCACTACAGCAGGAGGCGGCTCCCCCAGGACCACAGCGAGAGCTTCTTCCCTCTGCTAACGGACGAGCACACAGAAGACCTGCAGTCACCGCACAGGGACTCTCTGTACACCAGCATGCCGGCCCTGGCCGGCGTGCCCGCTGCAGACAGCGTGACCACCAGCACCCAGACCGAAGCCGCAGTGGCCAAGGGTGGTGACGCCGAAGATGTTTACTACAAAAGCATGCCAAACCTGGGCTCCAGAAACCACGTGCACCCGCTGCACGCCTACTACCAGCTGGGCCGTGGCAGCAGCGACGGATTCATAGTTCCTCCCAACAAAGACGGGGCCTCTCCGGAGGGGACTTCCAAAGGACCCGCGCACTTGGTCACTAGTCTATAGAAGATGACACGGAGGTGGCAACCAACAGGACTGCGAACACCAAGTGGACCATTCTGGGTCGACCTAAGCAGTGTGGTCATCCTGTGTACTCCGACATCTGATGCTGTTTTCAAAAAAATAAAAAGAGACTCTCTTGACATTTTTTTTTTTTTTAACTTGAATTTTTAGGTCGGCCCAGGGGAGAAAGCTAACGGCTGAGATCCTCCTGTGCCCGGTTCTTTCCCGTCCTATCCCCTCAGATGGAGACTTCATTATGTTAATGAACGAGATATGAAGAAAATGGCGCTCATTGTGGCCTTGTTGAATTATGTTGTGTTCGTTTTTAACATCTGATGCTCTGTTACTAGAATCACAAGGACCTGTTGTTTCAGTTTTGTTTTGTTTTGTTTTGTTGTTTTTTTAAAAAAGGCCAGAACAATTGTTTGAAATTAGCAACGATGCTGCATCGAGATTGGAGTGTGCCCAGCCGTGGAAGCGGAGCAGAACTGTGTCACAAAGCGGTTCACGGTCACTCACAACTTGAGTTCACCACAGCGGGAATAGCTGTGGAAAGCAAAAACAAAAACAAAAAACAAAACAACAAAAATCAATAATCTGACGGAGGGGAATTCTAGAATTATATGCTAGATGCATATTTTATGATTTGCTATATTAACTGATGATAAAACTAATGGCAGAAAAAAAATTGAACAATTTCTATGTAATGTACAGATACTAGCATTGCGCATATAGTCTGCTTTCTGTTCCTCCAGAATTTGAGTCCTGTTAATGTAGTGGCAAAGAAGAAATTTTCTTTTGTGCTAGTCTTGCAAGTTTGTCTACCAGTAAAAGAGCAAAGTTTCCTTCCTTTCTTGTTTTCTTCCTTTTTTTTTTCTTTTGTCCCCTCTCCCCCCAACCTGTTTTTTTTTCCTTTTAAAAATTCACCTGGCAAAAAAAAATAATAAAGAAATGAAGCTATCACTTTATAAGAATCATTTTCTAGTAATGCAAACAAATTATTTTTTACAAAAAATAAAATAAAATAAATAAAATTAGACTTCCTTCCCTCACTATATATCTTTATCCAACCCGAATACCTTGCAACCCCAGTTTGCAAAATTAGAGCAGGACAAATCTTATGTTTCCAGGGCGCACATCTGTTGTAATGCAAAGCATATTCGGCAAGCAGTTCATCACCAAGGCAGTAGCTATGATTCTAGAAGCTAAGAGGTGTCTATAGATCTAGAGGGGCTTCTGCATGTGAAAAGCTGTATTCCATAGGCGTTACAGTGCTGAATGCGCAGTCTGCCCCTGTGCGGGCGCCTGCACGACCAGTTGTTAGAGGAAATTCACCCCCTCATAGTAAGAGTTGAAAGGTCAAATTATTTTGAAATGATTTTTTTTAAAGTCTTCTGTTAACAGGAAAATTTATTTATTTGACAGGATTTTAAGTAATGTAGGAATACAAATGGTAAATTAGCAGCACATATAATTTTTTTTTAATTTATGATCCATTTTGTATGGTCTCAAGTTGGATGACCTCATTACTAATATTTGTTGTAAAAGTGAAACTTGTTTGCCAACCAATAAACAACTGATTGAGATTTAGAAGAGATTGTTTTGACGTATGTACTGTATTATCAAATATTCTTTTCATTTTTCTTGCTTTGCCTTTCCTCCCTTTTCAGAACACAAGCTTTCCTTATCCTTTGTGACCCAAGTGAGCCACACAAAGAATCATTCTGCCTTGAATATCCAAATGCAACATGTTACAGGGTTTGCAGACAAAGTCAACCAAGGAAATGGTATAGGCTGAAGCAAGATGAGTAACTCACACTCAAATGGGTTAACAAAGATTACGGTGTGCTTGCTGATAAAAAAGCTCTCTAGTCACCAGGCTTGTGTCTAAAGACACATTCATTCTGTGGTTTAAATATCACATTTGAAAGAGTCAGCTCCCCCTCCCACTTTTTGCAAGTTCCATTTTGATGGAGAAATTTGGAAATTTACATTTACTCAATTGGTTAAGAGATGCAACAGTAATGGCATAGAGCCTGTTCATTGTAGAAGCAGTGTGCAAGACCTTTAAGTTGGGCACACATAGTATTAGGTTTCTTTATGGCAGTCGCAAACACAATCCTTTGTGTTGATTCTCCTTCTCCATCCCTGATTTTCCCTTTGTAGCTCTCTCTCTCTCTCTCTCTCTCTCTCTCTCTCTCTCTCTCTCTCTCTCT